CCCAGATGAACCAAGCTTCATTGACAAATTTGAGTGTGGTGAATTCAGTTCAGGTGGAGTGGTTTCAGGGTTGTGGCTGTGTGGCAGGGGCATGGCTGCCATAAATGGCAGGTCAGGATGCTGCAGCAGGTGTGGCCCTGTGAAGGGATGAGGCTTCAGGCCTGAATGTGGTCTACCTGCTGAGCTGGAGCAGTGCGTGAAATGGAGCTCAGTTTCCAGGCTCTGACCTCTCCTGCCTACATGGAGTCCTGTGGTGGCCAGTGTGGGGGAGCCAGGGGCCCTTCTTTCTATCTGCCTGCACCTGCAGGGGAGTCTATGCGGGCAAAGATTCTGCTTCCACTCCTCCAGCAATCCCCAGACCTGGTATGCATTCCAGAAAGCTTGAACCTGAGGGCTAGCTAACAGGGACAGAGGCACAGAGATCCCGGAGGGAGGCTTTGTGGGGTCATGATTTACTGAGTTTGGAAAACCATGGTGTTAATGAATCTTGTTTATAGTAAAAATGATTTAGGAATATTTTGGCTTGTGGATTTACTCTCTAAACATTTATACATGGTGTAAGCAACACATAGCAAATGTGGAAATTATTAAAATAAAATCAGCTCATGGTAAATGTGTTTCTTATGTTACTTAGTATAACTGCAGAACTCTGAATCCTGTGGTGGTTATTTTTAAGGAGAGAGTACCACTTTTCATTTAGAATGTACTTGTATGTATTGTTTTTTCTGTGCATGAGTTTATCTGCATAGTTTTTAGTTTGTGTATGGAAAAGTCTATCTTCTCCTTGGGCTGGAAAGATGGCTCAGAGGTTAAGAGCACTGACTGCTCTTCCAGAGTTCCTGATCTCAGATCCCAGCAACCACATGGTGGCTCACAGCCATTTGTAATGAGATCTGGTTCCCTCTTCTGGACTGCAGTCATTCACACTTTATACATAATAAATGAAAAAATCTTTTTTAAAAAAGTCTATCTTCTCCAATCCCTTAAGCCACCTAGCATGCCACGTGCACCAGATGGACAGTGTGCTCTCCCTTCCTCCGTGCTCACACCCCTCCCCTGGTATCATGCCCTTCCAGGCCCCAGAAGTGCTCTGGCAGTCTTGGCAACCACAGCAGAATGGTGGACACCTGGTTATGAGGTCCTACTTGTGGAAACTTGGAGACATAGTTGTGTAATTCCTTTAACAGTAGGAGT